CTAATTCTCTGCTTGTGGCTTTCCAAAGGTGTGTGTTTGGTCAGAGGACCGCTCTTGGATTCAGTGGTGCTTTTAAGAATGTCTTGTAACATTTCACCTAGCTAGCCAGTCTTTGAAATGTACTTAAATCACGTCTTTTGTATAAACAAGGTAAAAGGCATATTTGGATGGATATGTGTGTATTTTGCCTTTCTCTAGCAAGTGCTAGAGGCCATTTGGTCGAGTCATTCTTGAGAGTGGATAATTTGTGGCTCCCTAGATATTGGGCTGCTGCTCCCATAATCCCTCAGCATTAGCCATGTTGGATGGAGCTGATGGTAGCTGTAGATCAGCAGCACCTCTAAAGACCCTAGTCCTGGTCTAGAGCTTATTTGGTTATCTGGAGCTTTTTTGCTATCTTCTTGAGAGAAGTGGGATCATCCTGCTTGCTATGTGTGTGCATGAGAGAGAGAGAGCATGCATGCATGCTATGAGATTCTTATACAGGCTGAGTACCCCTTATCTGAAATTCTGATATCTGAAATAACTCCCAAATCCCAAAGTGTTCACATAGGTTTCTGAGACAGTGACATATTTGCTTTCTGATGGTTTAGTGTACACAAACTTTGTTTCACACACAAAATTATTACAGATTACCTTCAGGCTATGTGTATAAGGTGTATATGAAATACAAATGAATTTCATGTTTAGACTAAGGTCCCATCTCCAAAATATTTCCTCATCAAATATTCCAAAATCTGAAAAAAATCAAAAACACTTCTGGTTCCATGCATTTAGGATAAAGGAGACTCAACCTGTATTGGAATGTTAAAGAGGAGGTGTGTGTTTGCACAGCACTGGAAGGAAGAAGTGTCCAGGTTCCACACAAGTCAGATAAGAGTAATGGTCTTTGTTTCACCATCCAGGTTATGCCTCTATGCCTCCGACTTGTTTTTTCTTCTGTGGCAACTTCTCCTCAGCGCCATATGGAAAAAATCACATTCAGACAATGAAAGGTACTTGAGATTAGCTGTTGTGTTTTGTTAATCAGTTAATACCAAATTCGTCTTTATTTTCCTATTTTTTAGCATTTGGGAACCTCTATAGCTTGCTGTATATAGGTAACCAGAAAGGAAATACTATGAACAAGAGGGCTGTGGCTAATTTACAGAACTGATTTGGGCAAACTGAACAAAACTTGAAAGAAGCCAGGGAATTCTGGTAACAGTTGTTCTGTTTGAACTTGAAGATCTGATCAGCATTTAATCTGGAGGGAAATGGGTTGGGGTTGGGACCATGGCAGCAAGATGTTACCCCAACATATGCATATTCAGAGTTTCTGTGTGCTACCCCTTCCTATGTGTCTTCATTACACCTGTAATCAGGATTGCAGCCTGACTGCCATATAAAACCCCCAAGAGAGTTTTTGTGCCCTCCCAGGTTTCCACATTTTTGCTTCCAGAGGCCCTCAAACACTCCCTAGAGGGCATGGGAGGTGGTTTGGGGTCATTTTAAGCCCAGGAGAAGATATTTTTCCCCCAACAGGAAGTTGACTTCTAGGTCACTTATGATTGGAATACGGTTTCTCCTCAGGCTAAAAGGGCCTATTCATTGTCAAAAATGTGGTGAAATTGCCCCCAAGCATCCCAGGAGGCATTTGGGGCAATTTGTTTTCAATATTTTGGAGGGGCAGTATGGCTCCTCAACATGCCCACCCTTGCCCTAGATTAATGTCTGAGAAGGGGTCAGTAGTGGCTACATTTTAGTGAACAACACTGACTTACCTTTGCATTGATAATATGTATGTGCTAGCAAAGGAAGATCAGTAATTCCAAATGCTGTCAAGCATTGCAAATATTTGAAATCCTTAATCTTAAAATCAGTATAGGTTTGCAAAGAATGAAAGATCTCAAAAGCATGAAAGGCCTGGTTCTTCCTATTTGTTTTATGAATCCTGAGAGATTCACGGAAGATTGGAGATCAGCCTTGCAGGCTTTGCTCTTTAATTGTGCAAGTGAGACTGACTTCAAGACTAAAATAAAATGCAAGCAGCTTTGAACAACTCTTTCTTAGTCTTTAATGGAAAATGTATGGCTCCCCTGTGGATTAAATAAGAAAATGTATGAATAATTATAATGTTTCACAGTCAATCTTTTGCTGTTGCCTCTCTAGGTTCTTTGAAAGCCCTTGCAGATATAATATGTGAATTTCCCAGTATCCATGAGAGGTATGTGCTGTGTTATTATTTGCTCAATGAAAAATTAATGGAACATATGTTGTTCATATTTGTTAGTTAGAAAACATTCCACTCCTGAGAAATATTAGTTGCACTTAGAAGTTGCTGCAAGTTGTTAAGTATATCATTTTTCTTTTCATCTTCTGTTCAGCTGCAAAGGCAATGTCTTGTGCTTGTGTTAACTAAAAACTCTTAGAAAGGTGCTCCGTTCCAAAGCAGCAGTGGCTCCTCCTTATCTGGAAAGACCCTGAAGCTAATTTAAGCTCACCAAAGCTTCCCCCCCCCCCTTACCAGTTTTATATTGGAAAAATTGCTTCTACAGATCCCAGCAAGACAGAAGACTATCCAAAATATCTTTCAGGATTTATGTCAACTGCTCCTCGCTTTTGAAGTTCTGGTTACATTTGAGTAAATGTTGCTTTTTGGTTTGCTGGAGTTTCTATTTTACCTGTCAGTCACACTAACCTCAATCTGCATTAAACAATTTATAGCAGTCGATTTGTGTTCATTCCTGGCTCTGAAGACCCTGGCCCAGGCTCCATCTTGCCAAGGTATATTTTTGATAGTTACAGCTGAAGACTCTTTTTACTGAACACATTAATACAAAAATGTGCTAATGCTCTTCTGATATGTCACTGCAATAATTAATTTTTAGGCCTCCACTTTCAGAGAGCATCACTGAAGAGTTCAGACAGCAGGTGCCATTTTCAGTTTTCACTACAAATCCTTGCAGGTAAATGTCTCAGTTTAACATAAAGACAAATATTGGCATCCTGGAGTTGCTGAGGCCTTTAAGATATAGCAGTATATATTTGGGCAGGACTGATCCTCTGAAAATCTGGGAGAGATTTGTGCACATTTCTGTTTTTGGTGACAGCATAGCCTGGCTCTATCTTCAGTTATTCTGAAGAAATAAAGTTGTGTTTCTTCCAGGGTTCAGTACTGCACACAGGAAATAATAATATTCCGAGAAGACTTGGTAAACAAGATGTGCCGAAACTGTATCCGGTTTCCGAGCAGCAACTTGGATATTCCTAACCATGTAAGGCAATTCCCCCACCCCCTAAAAAAATTAACACCCCAAACTGAAATAAATCCATCATGTGAGAGTTGTTGTCTAGAGGTTACATACTCTTTATTGTCTTAACATATTTATTTCTTGTAATTAGTTTAGACACAGTGCAATTTTTTCTATTCCTTTCCTTTCTTATTTTAGTGCAGCTGAAAGTATGTAAAAATCCTTTGAGAGAGTGAGGCAGTCAAGGAGGGAAGGATATTGGAATGCCTATATTATCTCTGTAACTTTATTGATGTTGTCGTGTGCCTTCAAGTTGTTTCCAACTTATGGTGACCTTAAGGCTGAGCCCTATCACAGGGTTTTCTGGGGCTGAGAGTGTGTGACTCACTAAATAGTTTCCATGGGTGAGTGGGGAATCGAACCCTGGTCTCCAGAATTGTAGTGGAACGCTAAACCACTATGCCATGCTGGCTCTTCGTACACTTGGTATCTGCTGGGGTTTGGTTCCAGGACACCCTGTGGATACCAAAATCTGTCAATGCTCAAGTCCTGTTTTTTCCCAAAGGCATAGCAAAATGGTGCCCCCTATATAAAATTGCAAAATCAGGGTTTGCTTTTTGGAATTTTGTAGGGGGGAATATTTTCTGTGACATAGCAAAGATTCAAACTGGCATCCTGGAGTCTTAGGGGTTAAACAGATTGGCAGCTTAGAGTGGCCAGAGGTCACTCCAGCCCTGATCAACCCCCAGTCGGCACAGGACCACAGTGACCAGACACCATAGTCCCATGCTCGGCTGCTACCACAGTCCAAATGGACCACCAGCAAGGAGCAGCTTTTCCCCGCTCCTTTTGTGGCCAGCTTTGGGCCAATGTATAGACCAGGGGTAGGCAACCATTCCCCTTTAAGGGCCGAGGGACTTCAGCTCCCAGAAGCCTCAGCCATGTTGGCTAATAGTCCCATGTTGGCCAATAGCTCCTGGGATTCTGGGAGCTGAAGTCCCTCGGCCCTTAAAGGGGAAAGGTTGCCTACCCCTGGTATAGACAGTTTCAAATGACTAAATGGGCTTCCTTACTGAGAACGCTTTATCTTCTGCTACTCTGCACTTCAGGGGAATTAGAATTCATTTCTGATAGCACAGTTCCATTGCAATTTTACCATGCCATAATTTTGAGTAGTGAATCTGTAGGGATTCATACTAGTCCCTAATCAAACATGCTGTCTATGAGTTCTAGAATGTTCCAAAACATTTGGTACCATACTATTTAACAAACAAGGAAAAGATTATACAGGCTGGAATTTTGTACTTAATTACTGGGAAACAAGTCCTATTAAACTCAATAGGAATTGCCTCTGAGCAGACATGCAGAACTAGAACCAGAGGAAACCTAAGTAGTTGTTTTTTGCCTTACAGTTTGTGAAGACTATTTTATCACAAGGACATCTGACTCCCTTGCCTCTTAATGTCAGTCCTGTCTACTGGGCTTATGACTACACCTTAAGAACCTATCCTCTACCAGATATGATTGTCTTTGCTGACAAATATGACCCGTTCACAGTGACGAACACCGACTGCCTTTGTATAAATCCTGTAAGATCTAACATACCTTTAAAAAAAAAAAGCATTCTGAAAATCTATACTTTGCTTCAAGTGTTATTGGCATGCATGCTGTTATCTGAGTTCATTTTTGTTTTGGGCCTTGTCTCCTCAATATTATGGATAACTCTGTATGTGGAAGAAGGAGATATCCTTGACTGAATAATCTGTTGCAGCTCAGGACAGGTGAGTGTCCCATGAGCAAAAGAAACCGATACTTATAGCCAGAGCCTTAGCTCCTCTCCCCCACTTCCAGCCCTTTTCTTGACACAGGTTAGGTAGGTCTTCACTCCTCTCCAGATACTTAACTCTCTTAGGCTGGCATCCTGCTAGTAACATCTGCAAGCATAAGGCTAACCAGGGTGGATTTGATTTAAATCAATATAGTTTAAAAATAATGTATACTCAGAAGACTCAATCATGTGATTCCATCCCCCAAAGGGCACTCTTCCTCACTATTAGCTTAATACATATTTTACACAACTCAAGAGTTACCAAAGATCCCTTCTTGCTGGTATAATCTTAATATTTACTAGATGAAGGTTTCATTTTTAGAATAACTACTTTTCAGTTTAGTTTTACAGTTTTATATATATATAAATACTGATTATGCTATTAGAAACACATCATAGATAGATAATTATGAAATTATTGTGAAATGAGCTATTTCTAGGTTAATAGGGTAATCATTCATATTTGGACAACTTTTCTGCTGTACTTTATTGGAAGGAGAAAATAATAATTACATTAATATCAATTTAAATAATGAATTTAACTAAAACAGTAACATGGTAGCTTGTGCTGTATTTGCTTTCATTTTTACTGCTTGCCCCTTCCTCCTCACTCCTAGCTGCTTCTTCAGATCTATTCCACTCCTTGTCTCCCAATAATCTTTTCATTGAATGCTTTGAAACTTAGCACTTGAGAAGTAAGGGGTTGATTCTGTGTATATAGATTTCAAAAGAACAATGGGATTGTAACCTCTGCAGACACAAATTCAGTTTGAGAACTGTAAAAACAAGCATATGTTGTAATATCCTCTAGACAGAAAAATTGTCCAATAACCTTACAGAAACCTCTGGAAGAGCATGACATTGTAAATTGATTAATGTAATTTGTTTACCAAAAAAATTTAGACATTGCATGAATATTCATTCTCATGCTACTTAATTAAAAACTAATCCCAATTTCATGATGAATAATCTTTAGACCATTATCTATCCTAATGTTTAAATAAATCTTCTAGATAGATTTTTCCCTCAAAAGGCATTTAATTTTTTAAAATCTGATCTAAATTGTAAAAAAAATTATTGATTTTTATCCACCCCGAAGCTCATGTATGCTGTGTTTGTGTGTTTAATAATAATAATAATAATTAAATAATATTATTTAAAGGTGATAACCAACACCTTAATTGTGGAGGCTCGTATTCTCTCCCTTGGCAGTGACCAAAGCCCCCCAGGACTCACAGTTTAGGTGTTGCAGCACCCCATAACAGTTCAGTGACTGGAAAAAAACTGTATATGTGTGTGTGTGCAATTTGAGAAGCTTCTGGCTCTGTCCCCATATTCAGACACAGACTAATAACATCCTCCATTGCAACGTTTGGAGTCCATGGATCTCAGTGAACAATATAATCAGCTGGCACCTGGCTGTTGGGCCCTACCTGCTTCTCCAACCCCCACCTCTCCACCAGCCCTTGAATGGCTGTGTGTGCGTTTTTGTGTGTGCCCACGTGTGAAAGAGATAGAGTTTGTTGTATTGTATGCTTTCAAGTCATTTCCAGCTTAAGTGACCCTAAGGCAAACCTATCATGGGGTTTTCTTGGCAAGATTTGTTCAGAAGGGGTTTGCCATTGCCTCCCCTGAGGCTCAGAGTGTGTGACTTGCTCAAGGTCACCCAGTGGGTTTATATGGCCAAGAAGGGATTCAAACCCTGGTCTCCAGAGTCATAGTCCATCCAACACTGAAGCCACTGGCTCACGTGTGAGAGCTACAGCAGCTAAATAGGCAGTCTGTGGTGGGGTTCAAAAGAAGAAATGTAACATAATTTCACTCCTAGATCACATTCTGCAAACCAGGATCTTGATCTTTACTCTGCTTGCTTGCTTACTTACTTACTTACTTTATTTATTTATACATCATCTTCCTTCTGGGGGACATTAGTCAAGCTGCAGCTTGGTTGAAACCTTGTTTCTTCATGTGCATCTATAAAATAGACAAGTTTGCCTTTGAAAAAGTGGCCTTTGGCAGATCTTGATTCCCTGGAAAGAAGCCTTTCCTCCCTTCCTTTTTCTGTCTGGTTTGGCTGCACCCTAATCAAGGATGTCTGTTTCTCCCGGTACAGAGAATGGTATACTGTGAAGGCCCATTCTTCCGTGTGAAAAAAGAACATCCACCACCCCTTGTGGTGGTTACTTCCTATATTTTTGTTATCTTTCCTCAGTCTGGCTGTGCGAAGACCTAGAAGTGGGGGTAGAGAAAGGGTCTGGCTGTAAATTTCTTTTTATCTAGTTCATATAACACTTGCCCGACCTGGGTGATGACAGGAGATAATCCAACAGAATGGACCTTCACAGTAAGTATCCAACATGCAAATTTGTATCCATCTCTTTTGCCTGGATTAAAATAGAGGGTCTTCAGTGTAAAAGGTACGGCAATTGAATTTCATGTTTGCCTTTCGCTTAAATTAGGTAGTTAAATGTTGCTTTTTGTTTTGCATTAGTCTTACAGTTCTGTTAATTTGGAGGTACATGTTATACTTCATAATAACATTAATGGCAAAAGCTCATGCTAAAAGAGATTAGTTAATCTCAAAGGTGCTGCTGGATTTCTCCCGCCTCCCACTTTCCACATTGTATTGACACAGATTAACAATATGTCACTGAAAATTACTGAACTAGTGCAGAAATTTTTCATCCTGGGAACATTTTTTCTGTGATGCCTCCCAGATCTATGGTTTCAGAACAACTTAAGTATGTTTTTGTATTTCTGTTTAGATCATGAATAGCACCTGTGTTCATGGATTATTGCATTTCAAAGAGGAACTTTCATGATTAAAACTTTTCACATTATCTTAATTGTATCCTTTCCTGGAGCAAACTCACATAAACTGCTCCCAGCAGGACATTACAAACAAGAAAGTACCAGACTTGTACAAGTACAACTTGTAGCAGTAGTGGTTGTTTCTGAGTTTGTCCTACAGCTGGTTAACATTATTTGAGCAATGTTAATTTTTCATTTAACTGGAATTGCATTATTTTTGAAAATGGTGCTTCTAGGTGAAATGCCAAATATAATTAATACTCAAAGGTGTTTGCGTCGGATATAAATGAATACTTGAAAATGACTATCAGATGAAGAATATCTGCTTAAGATAATAGTATTGATTGCAAAGTAACATTATTTCTCTCCTCCACCCCCCTTTATTCTAGGGATCTTTTCCAAGGAGTGGCTTTTCATTTAAAGTATTCTACCCATCCAACAAAACAGTTGAGGACAGGTAAGTTCTTGATTTTTGCTGTCAGAGTATGGAAGCACTTCTTAGCTTCTCCTTTCAAATACAAATGCCATTTATTGAGCTGCTGTCTGCAGAGGCAAGCTTCAAATGACAAGATGTTGTCAGGAGGGGGGGAAAAAGGATGCATGTGAAATACTTAGCTGTGCGTACACTTAGGACCTTTTCAAACTACACAATTACAGCACTTTGATACTATTTTAACTGCTTTGCCTGCATCCTATTAGGGTGCATTAGGGGCAAAAGAATGAGAGGGGAGAGCACAAAAATGCCCTAGGGGCTGCAATCCCAGTTCTGAAATGTGGCATATAAATGAGCAGATATAAAAATAAAAGTTATGTGAATACCGTATGATGATAAC